CGAAAGTTATCAGGTAAACGGACGAACGGCTACACTGACCGATTCTAGAGTGTACTCACTTTTTGAGTACACAAAAATAACTAATGAGAAAAAGAAATGCTTATATTCAAAAATATTTTGGACATTCTTGTTATTCTATGGATTTATATAACATTCGGAAACTGATTAGATAAGATGAAAGAAACGTATTTAATACTTCATAGCTAGTAAAATAGATTATTCATAAACTTTTTATGTATCATCATATGTTATATCTACATGTCATTATATTAATCAAAATAAGTATGGTAGAACTAAAATATTAATTAAACTATCTATTGATATAAAATTATGTTTGAACTATACTGTATTCTTCTATAAAATGTTTTTGAATATAAGTTATCTAGTAAGAATGACGTCTATACTTTTCTTAAGTGTCGTCAGTACTCATTTCAACTCATCTTTTATTATATCCTTTAGTGAAATTTGTCTGACAGAAGTTCACCAAAACATATTCTTTTGACATTAATTTCTCACAATTCAAATAATCAATTATATTTAAAAGTAAGGATGTAGCTTAAACGTATGTCACAATGAATTAATAACTTATTCTACAATTAAAAATTCTAAAGAACTATAAATATTATACATAATAACAACTGAATAATTTATGACTATGATAATATCAAATAATAAGCAAAGGGAAATTTTTTTAAAACTGCATTTTTCGGGGAAATTTTTTGAAATTTACTTCAGGGAATTTTTTTGTTTTGGGGAAGATTCTGCACATCTGAATATGCCACTTACCATCGAATCTTAAAGTCTTCATACAAACGTGACTTAAACTCTGCCTGTTAAGGATTTGTATATTTTTCATATATTACTCATTCAATCTTATATTCTAGGAAACTCTTTACGCACTGTTAAATTCTAGAATATTATTGTCCTATATGCGTCAGAGATAAATTTACAGATAGGATTGTTACACGTGATAAAAACTAGACTCGTACTATATATACAAAATATATCTCATCTATCGTGTTTTGTAACACCTTTTATATTAGTACGTGTTCATAATTAAAGAGTACCCGAAGATTAATATTACAGACAATATGATTTTATTGACATGTAATTATACTTAAGTGAAGTATTTTGGTTAGTATTGTCTCCCACGATTTCTTTTATTATTATAAGAAAAAAAACTCCATATGATGAATGATACAAATTTAATTGAAAAATTTTATAATTAAAATTAATATAGATAGTTTGATAGATTATTTACAACACATAACTAGAATAATAATAACAGTAAAATCACGTTAAATCTCACGTGTCAACGAGTAGTTACGGAGAACATTTTAACGCAGTAAAACGCTTTCTGAAAAATTGCGTAGAAACGCGTTAAGAATTCGTACAAAAACGCTGTTTGAACGCGTTTTTTTAAAGATCATGTCTGCCCGAGTTATGAATGTCATATTATCTCGTCTAGGTAGTATTTGCGTATTTTAAAATGACTGCAGATGCGCCGGAAAGTAAGAAATGCTAATTTGTCTGTAAAAAGTAGTTCAATATTAAGTTTTCCTTCGTATTCATTCAACACATTCTTTATCCCTTGATGTCTCCTTCGTTCTATTTAATATCCTGGATATTTGACATTGTTCATGATCTCATCGACGGTTTTTCAGTCAACAATAATAATTGTCTATATTGTCGCTATAATCATGTAAACTTTGAAAGTTCTCACATGATATTCTTACAAAAAAGTTCTGTTGACACGTAGATTGTACCTAACATATGTCATTAATTTAATCAAAACACACGAGATTTTTGAACGAGATTTCTAAGTAAATTATTATAGTTTAATACCACTTTACCTGCGCAAAACTAAATCTATTGCATGAAAAAAGTAGGACATCTGAATGACTTCATTTTAATATAGCTAGAAGAAAATAACAATAAAAATTCTTTCAAAATAAATTAAGAATTACCAACGTATAAGTAGTAAAATTTCAATATTTTTACAAAGAAAAAATATATATTTTAGGTACCCATTTTAGATTTTATTTATCGACAATGACGATATTTACTTCACTAAATAATATATAATTACTATATTTTATAATTTCACTCCTACGATTGTTTAAATGTTATTATGACTTAAAAAATATGAACAGTCGAATCTTTAATTGATGAATTCCATAAAACAGCTGTTACTCACACAAGCTCTTATTCAAGGGATTTCTAGAGTAAGACTGAGAGAAAAGTATTTAATAAAACTTGCTCGAATAATGTTCTATTATTTTCTGTAAATAAGAAACAATCAGTAATATTTCAACTATATGGAATAAGATTTATGACTAACAAAAATATTACCTTAGAGAACAAGTATATGTCAGTACTCTTTTATAATATCTAACTTTGGAATGATGAAGAAGAAGGAGTAATGTTTGTTTTCATTTTTGTCAATGGTTTTCTAACAGCGAGTATAATTGGTCTCGTGAGTGCGCACTTTCTTCTTTTCCTATAATTTTTATGATTGACTTTTAATATATGGGTACAATCGTTATCTAATCAATTTTCCTATAAAATTTAAATAAAGTGAATATTTTGTTTTTTAAATAATAAAACTAAAAACAATATTTTACTTCTATTCAAAACTTAATTGTAGTATGAAAATATTAAGATTAAATAATGAAGATTTACTTACGATTAAAAGAAAATTCTAATTCATGATTTACGTTAACTATAATCATATCTCATGTGATTTTTTTGAAGTAATAATAAAATTTCTAGGTTTGTTAGTTTCTGAAGGCGAAGAACATTGTCTTCATCTCAGTAAAATAATCTTAAGAAGTATTTATTCAACTGGATTCTAATATTGTCTAAAGTGAAGTCTTTATATATCTGAAGATTATAAGAAAGTCTTTGATTTTTAAAGAGTTTTGCTATATCTCTTTGGCTTATTGTAAAAGTTATAGATTTCTTTTCCGTCCTGGAGCACCCTCTTTCGTTATAATTCTATCGGTCGATACTTTCAAACCAATATTTATGAATTACTCGATATGTCATCATCTTCTTTCAATTTTTATATTTCGTATTTATAGATTTTATTTTTTTTTGAGACATTAATTAACAAAAATATTTTCTTATTTATCTAGACATCATGGTCTATTCGGATCGAATTTTATGTGGTCCTATGGTACGAATATCAAGTCTTCCGTTTCGACTATTAGCACTTGAATATGGAGCTGATATTGTTTTTTCAGAAGAATTAATTGATTATCGTCTTACACAATGTATTCGAGTAGAAAATGGTATTTAAGAATTTATTTGTATAACTGTACTTTTACTTGATAGTTTTCTTTTTTTTTTGTTTAGATTTATTTAATACAATCGATTTTGTTGTACCTGGTGAAGATCGACCTATGTTACAAATTCATAAAGGTCGAGAAAAAGGTCGTCTTATTGTTCAATTAGGTACATCCGATGGTCAACGAGCTTTAAATGCTGCTCGACTTGTAGAAAATGATGTCGCTGGAATCGATATAAATATGGGTTGTCCAAAGAAATTTTCTATTCAAGGTGGAATGGGTTCTGCATTACTTGATCATCCGGATAAAGTCAAACAAGTAGAAAATAAAAAGAATTTTATTTATTCTATAATATAAATATATAATTATTTAGATACTCGAAACTTTAGTCAACAATCTATCAATTCCAGTCTCATGTAAAATACGTTGTTTACCTACATTAGGTAAATAAAATCATATTTTATTGAATTTAAATTATATATCCATAGATAGAAGCCACAATATCACTTGTACGTACAATAGTAACAACAGGTGTTCATGCTATAACAGTTCATGGTCGAACACGTGATGAACGTAATAATGATCAATGTCGAGAAGCATTTATTCAAAGAATTGTTCAAGAATGTCCATCAAATATCACTGTTATAGCAAAGTAAGATTTTTTTTTGTTTTAATAATTAAAACAAAATCTTTAATTTTTATCTCTAGTGGAGGATCAACAGTCATATCATCCTATTCAGATATTGAAAAATTTCGATTACGATGTGGTCCATGTCATGGCGTTATGTTATGCCAATCTGCTATGTGGAACCCAAGTATATTTCGACCGAATGGTCTTCTACCGATTCGAGATGTTGCTAAACGATTCCTTGAAATAGTATATTATAATATTTTCTTTATTATATTAATAATTATGAATTTTAGAGTCTTGAATTTGATAATTTACTTCCAAATATGAAATATGTTCTTCAACGAATGTATGGTGTTGCTGATAGTCAAAATGTATTTTATGACAGAATATTAGCAACAGAAACTGAAGCTCAACTTTAGTATGAAAATTTCTTCATTGATATTTGAATATTTATATATATATATATGTTCATAAATAGTGATTTATTTCATATGAAAGATGAATACGAACAATCAATGATTGGTGAACGACAATTATGGCGTGAAAAACTTCGAAGTCGTCTTATGAATACTTCAAATGAAGACTCAGAAAATAATATTATTGAAAAATCAGCAAAATTTGTTCGGTAAGAACTCAATGTTGAACGGGTGTGGGTCACCCATAACCTATATGATATGATTTATATCCAATGATTTCTTTTTCTTTGCATAGATCTGAATATCCGGCTTCAATGACACCGAAATCCATTTTAAATGCATATTGTATTCAAGCACATGTTGATAAACCTATTTATCATACTGTAAGTTGATCTTATTTAAATATATATTTTTTTTGAAATTTTCTTTTTTTTAAAACATAAAGGAAGAATTAAAACCACAGCGAATTTTTCGAACAGTCATTGATTTTGATGGTAAACGTTATTCAACAGCATCTTGGTAAATATAACATTGAAATATAATCTTTTAATATATAAATATTGATTATTTTTTAGGGAAAAAAATAAGCAGTTGGCTGAACAAGGAACTGCTATTGTTTGCTTACAATCTATTGGTGTTGATATAAAGAAAGCTAAATATGGCATTAGTTATATTAAGACTCATCTTTCTAACGAAAACAAATTGTAATCCCGATCTTGTTTAAGTGATATGAATAAAACAAAAACACTTCATATGATGTGATCGTATTTCTAAAGTAAAAGAAAACAAAGATATATAAAAAAAAGTTCCAGAAGCTAGTTACGCTATCTCGAGTCTTTCAGATGAACACATGCCAATGAAAATAATTCATACTGGTAAATTTTGACTGATTTATTAATAAGATAAACAAACGTGTACAAAAGTTCACAAATCTAAAGTGTATGAATATTATGACACTAAACAATTAATAAAGTTATTACAGTAAGATATTTGCTTCATATATCTACCCAATAACTTCTGAGACTTCGAAGCAGTTGTATTGTAAAATAATGATTTATTTTCAAAATTAGCATTTAACTAATAACATCAAGATATTTTCCTTCGATATCGTAAACGACGTCGACATAGTATGAATACTACGATAAAAATAATTGGTAATATAGGAGAAAAATAAATTGCCAAAGGATGTTTTCTGAACCAGTGATAAATATAAAGAACTACTTGAGCATCTCGTCCATGCCATGAGTTACCTGGTGTATGCCATGTGTATATAGATGAATATACTATTTCATCAACAATACGTACAACTGCTTGTTTAGAAAATTGATGGAAATAAAATTCATTTATTGAGAGATATAATGGACCTGCACTCATCATAACAGTGAGATAATCAATTAAATAATTATGATTAAAAAGAGGCAGACGTGAAATAAGATTTTTAAATAATGGATGACCTTTTGTTGATATCATAAAGCCATTTGAAATACCGATAGGACTAGTACGTGGAAAAGCAGCAAGATGAGGTGAATCAGAATCAACTGCTTCTAATATTCTCAATAAACTTTCAAATGACTGATAACATCCATTATCCATGTCAATGTAAAGACCACCTAATCGATGCAAGACAATATAACGAAAAGCATCAACACGTTGTATATCATGAGCGTATTTAACAAAAGTATGTTGATATAAATATGGTTCCTCTTGACGAACAAAGGTATGTATATCAGCATCTGTCCATAATCGATATTCAAATTGATCAGCATTCAATTGTCGTATTGATTCGACAGAACGATTCCAACGTTCTGGTACTTGCTTATCTTTCCATGTTTGATGAATAATACGAGGAATACGTTGATAAAATGTTTTATTTACATTGTTTTGCATTTGAAATTTATCCACATCTGCTGCAGTGAGAAAGACTCGTGGTGAACGACGACGAAAAAAAATGAGATAAATTATAGTACAAATAATTAACATATATAAAACTCTACGGAAGTAACTTTGCCACTGCATTTAATTTATGAGAGGAGGAAAAAAAATTTTATGTCATATCCTTTTTTGTACTATTTGTTTTCATAAGAGCATAGAAAAAAGTGAAAGAACGAGGAAAAAATTAATTTCTTATGAAAAAAAAATGCAAATAAAAGGTATGACCGTTGTTGTCACAGACAACATAATGTCACATTGCATTAAGTTATTTTTGTAAAAATATCATAATGTTCTTGTAATAAATACTTTTCATATTGAATTAACTAGATATGTTTGTATTTTAAATTATACTATATCGCACGTTGTCAAACTATAAGTATTAATATGTTGATTTTTATGTACATCAATCAATGTCGCTTAACATTTCTTTTTTCTTCTTCATAGAAGAAATAATGTAGATTCCTCGAGTTACGGTTTTGCTTTTTATATAAATAATAATGTCGTTTATAAAAAAAAAGCAAGAATCACAAGAAAGAAGCATAAGTTTTACCTACCTTTGTTATCATTTCTGTAGAATATTTATTTGGCAATTAAAAAAGAACTGTAGCGAATTTATAAAAAAGACACGGTTAGATATGTGTTATGACTGCCACATGTATTTATTTTCCTGTAAACATAGAGATAAATTGGTGAAGCAGTGCTACTGCTATACACGGCATACGATATTCACCGCTCTCCAGAATATCATGACTTCTCACTATTAGAAGGCCATATTCTTATTAATTATTACAATATTAATAACATTTTTATTAATAATTAGTAAAAGCTTTGATCCCACAATCGAAGGCCATTCAAAACATAACGATGTGTCAAGACACTGTATAAGGGCATAGCCTTCTATTATAGGGAGAGTGATGGGACAGGTTACTCGTTACATATGAGAAGAGAAGAGGATACAAATATGCACATATAATGATCGAAATTGTCCCTTCAGTGACAATTGTTATATCACACAAGGATAAAATCATACAAGAATAATATGTTGTACGCTCACAGAAACTCTGATCTTGAATTGGAAGAAGGACAGATAGGTGGAAAAGAGAGCGTAAATGATAGATAATTGTAATTATAAGATAAGGTGATTCATACAGAGTTATATATAAAATAATCTTATACTGTTAAAATGAACATCAAGTTCAACAAATAGATGCTCCTTTCCAACTGAAAACATATGAATAACTCAAAGGACACCGCTGTTTTGAAAATGTACATAATTGATTACTTTATCCTATTTTGATAGGCTCTAAAAAAAAATTTTCAAATTTATCATTAGCAATCGAATATAGTCAAGCTATTCAATTAACACTAACCTTGAAATTCTTTTGATAATGATGCTTTGATTTTCGTCCAGTGTAATATCCAGTGGCTGATTACGAAAATCGATCTAGCTGGGTGTGAGTGTGGGTGTGGCTATTAAGTTAATGACCCACACCTACCTACACCCATCCATACCCACACTCACACCCATACCCTACCCAGGCCAACACCCATCACATTTTCAACTGTAAGGATGGCGATGTTGGAATTTCTGACTAATATTTGCACGTGTTCGTATCAGAACGACATATACGCGAAAAAAATCAGGTATGTGTGCACGTCTTTTACTCGCCTCAAAGATCTACTCTTTTTGCGATAACGAGGGAGGAGATAGATGCTTTTTTTTATTACATCTCTCACGCTTTCTGAAAGTATATTTCTATTAGACAAACATAACAATGATTGATATTTTTCTTCCGAGGAAAAAGATCTGCAGAGTCTTTCAGCTATAAAAAGAAATCAAAGCGACGCACTGAATTTGTTACCGATAGCATTTTCCTCGCTTTTTCTTTTATTGCATTTGAAAGAATGTTGTTGCAGATAAAATTCTTTCATGTCGTTTCTTTTCTTTTTCTTTTTCGTTGTTCTGTTTTTGATGCGTGTGATATATGTTCGTGTTCTGTTTTTTTGGGAGTCAGTTTCTTTTTGTTCTTTTCTTTGGAAGCATTATTTTCTTTTTTTCAAATATATACAATTTCAAGCGCAGTTTCTCTTACACTGAATAGGAAGAATCATACCGCTGTCTATAGAGAGCTCACAGAATCGTATTTAGAAGTCGTTGTCGTTGCGAATTTAACACAATGCAAGCTAAAAGAGAAAGTTTCACTGTGAACACTATTTCTGCTATCGACTCAAACGGTCAAAGTTCACTGCTATCAACAGTAGCTTTACCTCATGAAAGTTATCACCATTTTCGTGTTCATTTTTTATCGGGAACCAAGATTCTCAACACACGACGATACACTTCAGTGGAGCATATCAGAGAAGATGCTTTCGCACTATACAAAGAACTTGATTTTAACGATGGAAACGCTATTGTTACGTATTATGATCACAATAATATCGAAATTTTCTTAACTTCTGTTCCTGAACTACCTAGGAAACACAAGTCGCAAAGTTTATTTATCCGAAACGTATGTTGCATACCTTTATTGATCTCTTTATCTAAAATATTTTATCTACACTGTAGAGCCATACTGCATGTGCGTTATGTGACAATCCTTTTGGCATTTTGGAAAATCAACTTCTATTCGAATGTCCCACAAGGCATTGCGGGGAACAGTATTGCAGCGGTTGTGTACAGAGTATTGTTGGAGCAATTGCAGAACGTATATTTGCATGTGCTACATGCAGGAAAGGTGTTAGTCTTCGACCAGCTAATCTGATTCAGAAGCATGTCATCTGGAAGAATATGTGCGAAACGTATGGAGTTCGTAGTTTATTTGACCTGAAAAACAAAAAAGAAACTATCTCATGTCGACCTCTCATTAAAAGCATGGAATTTCGATTGATTCATCTGGAATCTCAACTTGATACTTTTCGAACAAGATTAGGAATGATTTCTCTTGATCTATTTGATGAACTGCTCATTAACCAGGTGACTGATCTATGTGCTGATCTGAGAGAACTTGTCGTTCAAATGAAGGATAAACATGAAGAAATGAAATGTCGTGGTGTTGATGTAAGAACTTGTCTAGGTAAATACAAAAAAAGTATGCGTGACTTTCATCTCGTATGTCATATATTAATTCATATCATCGAAAAACTCGAGATGAATGATTCCGACTTCACAATAGATATATCTGAATCCCTTCAAGAGCATCTTAAACAAAAATATGATATGAATCGTTTGGAGATGCTGTTAGAGGAAGAAAATATCCATGCTATTGACCAGATCCTTCGAGATCTTGCCTTTCGACGACAATGTCTATCATCATATTTAGAAACAATCCGATCATTATTGCAGAATAAGCCAGAACAAAACACCTCTTTTGATAAATATATTCATAAAGCCGAGAAAAGATTAGTAACTATATCCGATGTCGACAGTGATCTGAATTGTTTACGTGGAAATCTACGAGCTATCGAACGATGTATTGATAAATATATTAATTTGTTACGCGATGGAAAGCTTCGAGAGAATGATCATGATAATTTTGCACAATACAATCACATTCCAGACATTCCTTGCTTTACATATATTCAACTGATGGAGAAACTGTGCGTTGGAATAGATAAACTGGAAATCAAAACTACTTTTCCGACAACTGATCAGTTAATGAAAACATGGCAAGATGATCATGGTACAGATGATCAGTTCAAACCCAAAATAATCGAGCTCTTTCAAGCTGTAGAACTCGATCTGACCGAATTGTTCAAAGAGCAAAAGTCGACTTACTCTATTCCGTACAAAGTTGGTTTAATTGGTCATGGATCTGTAGGAAAAAGTGCGTTAGCAATCGAACTAGCCAATGCCAAACAGCACTCGGCCATGATCGATACTACACGAAGTACATTTGGTTATTTACAATTTGACACACTCGCCTATCAACATCCTCGAACTAGAAGACCTATTCCATTTACTTTCGTTGATATTGAAGGAGCTATCGATGCTGACGAATCTTTGTCTGCAGGAAACTATCTGGAATTAATAACTCGAGCAGATTGTGACGTGTATATAATTGTTTTCGCTGGGCTGTTCAGCGCACACAATCGTGCTTGTCGACAACATATCGAAAAGTTTCTTCTACGAAAATGTCTCTTAGTGAGAAGTAAAGCCGATGTATTGTTTAATGATATTTTCAACGAAGAAACAGCGACAGATTACAAAAAAGAGACTGCTACGGATTACGACGTAAAAAAAGCTTTGGAGCAAACGAGAAGCCTGTCTAAGGTTACATTCGACGATAAGCGTTTAACAGATGAAATTTATCTCACGGCAGTTATATGCAAAAACAGCTCAAAAGGTGCATCTTGGGCTCATTTCGATTTAGAGAAATTGAAGGAAAAGTTAATCCATTTGGCTATCATGGACATTCGAATAACTCGAATGTGTCAACTTGCCATTCTCACTTCGAAAGCCGTTATCAATACCTGCTTTCGTCGTGGTTACGTGATCTCGAAAACACGATGGAAATGGTTTGCTGCTGGCGCTAGTCTTATTCCTTTTCTTGATGAACTACCGAATTTTTTCGGACGCGAAGAAATCCGTCAAGCTTTTGGTGTACACGACAGATCCGCAATAAAGAACATGTTTCGTGGCACAAAAGATTCTTTAGAAGAATACCTCACGAAGAAAAATGTAACATTACCAAAAAATATTTTGGAATCTGGCTATTTCGAATACTTAGAATCTGATGGACCAGAAGATAAACACATATATGACGAAGCATCATCAATGTATCAGAATACAAGGAAAAGTTCAACTGTAAAGAAGAATGATCAATGGACTCGCCACGGAACGAAGGTGTGTACTGTTTTAACTGCAATAGGCACGTCAGTGGACGATATCTTACGATCCGTTATTCCAGCTGGCACAGTCGGATTACGTGTCGTATCTATTGCTGGCATAGTGGTTGGTGTGGCACTTGCTCCTGTTTTTGCAGTTTGGGCAGCTTACTCGAGTGGAAAAAGAATGACTGAACACCTTCATCGACTATGCAACGATCTATTCGTTATTGTTTCACTTTTTGCAGTTAACCAATGTAATGAACATCGTAAAAAGACTGAGACACTCACATTTTCGTCTGTCTTTCAAGAAACTTCATCCGATGAAGACAAATAAACTTCTCACTATCAATGACCCAGCCAGGGGAGGGTAAATGGATTATTCCGCATCTCATTAAGAGATTTGCCCATTAAAGTTTTACTTTCTCAAAATTGTAATTGCTTATTGATTTTTGAATTAAATTCTAACTGTATTTTTTTCTTCCGTTTGAAACACACATGCACTATTTGCTTGTTCTTTCTGTGAAGCCTTAAAAGAAGAAGAAAAGAATCACTTTTTGTATTTTAATTGTAGGCCTGGTTGAACATGTAATGATTTGCTTAAAATGGATGATGACCGGAGAAAAAAAACAGTTAAACGAAGTAATTAAAGAGACGGACAGTATATTATATTCAAATGTTCGTTATTTATTAATTATTTTCTTGGCAAAGTTCAGGATGTGGATGTGGTGACAGGACAGGGATGGATAAAACACCCATACCAACACATTATTCAGAAACAAATCTTTTGGATATTAATAGATGATTAGGTTTCTGCATGTATCAGCATTTATTAGGTTGATCTACTGAACAACTGCAAATCAGATATTAGTGAGTGCAATCCATGCGTACGAAAGTGAACGTTTACATTTTTTTAAGGCTATATTATCTGTATTTAACAGAATTCATACAAAGATATGCGCTGTTCAAATAAAAAACTTCATTTAACAATCATATCGAGTTTTTTTAAAGATATTATTAAAGCCATTTAACACATAGATCATATCGATAGGCGACTAGTGACTCTTTTTTTATTTCATTACCTAAGAAAAAGTTCATTTATTAATATATAGTTATCTAGTCAGCAATTATTTTCAACAAATGTTCATATTTTACAGTAATTTCTGGTCACGCGTTACTCACGTGAATATTCATTGAAACGTGTATGGCAACATGCAGGAAGAGAAAACTCGAGCATTTTAAATAGTATTTATAAGAGGTAGTATAGAAAATATCACGTGTTGAAAAGTGAAGGAACAACTATTTCTACAATATCAAATGCAATTCAATCGAATAGAATTTTCTACTACTCATGAAGATAACATGTTATATTTACACATTATTCCAGGGATTAACGATATTTTAATTACGAAATTATCAGTATTTTTTCAAGGTAACTTGTAAACATAATTATATTCTTTATAACTAAATATGTAATTATCAAATTCAACACAACAATACTTTCATTAAGATCTAAAAACCTTTTTCAATGTTATTCTCGTCATATACCAAAATAGATTCAATTGAAGTATTATCGAGATGACAGTGAATATTCTTAATCTTACTAATGAAGAAAAGTTGAAATTTACAAGAGGAACTTATACTTTTCTATTCATTTACAAAAGTTTATTGAGTATTTTATACGAAAAATAACAAGTGACTTCAGTGAGCCGTTTTCATTCTACAACTAAACTATTTCATGAAAATCTTTCAGTCGTATATTAGAGATAAAAATATGTTAAGCATTGTTATATAATTAAACACACAATAAAAAAGCAGGTACTTCTATTTTTAATCGTTGAACATTTTTTAAAAAAAGTATGGCACGTGATGCTTGTGCAAAGGAAAACTTTTTTATATTATAAAAATTCTCTGATGTAAGAATAGATTCAAAGCCATGACTTAATTAATAAGTGATGACGTCTTGTGCCTTTTTATCATTATTAATATTCTCTTATATATTGTACCCGATGCATCCTTTGTTCCTCCACTACGCGTTACTCTAATATTAGAAAGAAAATGTTTCTACTCTTTAACTTTTCATATATTGCATGTAATTATAATAATAAAAGAAATCAGTTTCAGTAAAGAAAAGTAAGGAAATACTTTTCAATATTTACATGATTAATAGTATCCGGAGAGAAATAGTGTACGCATGAGAACAAAAATTAATTTAAATTGACCTAGATTCTTTCCTACTCATTTGTACTAGTTCAACCATGAGTTTCATGTTAATCAGTCTAGATGAACAATGTAAGATTATTTGCTAGTTCTCTCGATTAGTAGTCTCATATTATATATATGTATGTACCAGAAAATAGACGAATGAGAGATTTATATCTTTTATTCTCTTCATTTTATTATTTGATGCCTTCATAAAATCTTCTTCTCATTCTGTCATATATCTAGAAATAGAGACTTCTCATATGAAGATACTTATAAATTGATATAGGGATTAGACCATTAGTATAGGAGCTATAAAAAAAAGAAAGAAAGAGAAGAAGAATAAGAGGAGAAATAAAATATTGGTCGTCATAGAGATTAGATACAGTGCCGCGGGAAGAAAAAAAAGAGGAGAAGAATAAGTCATACACACTCTTATTTGACGACCGAGAGAAACTTCGGGCAAAGGTCATATTTTGCATTTTGTCGTTTTTTTTTGTAGTTTTACTCTTTCTCGTAGAAAGTATTTTCTTTTATCATGAAAAAAAAAGTTAATTTTCTAAACTATTCAACCATTAATACACTTGTGACTAAAAAAAGAGGAAATATTCACTGATTTTCTTTACATGTCATTCAAAATTAAAAATATATTTTATAAAACTTATTCATACATTTAATTGAGTAATCATAAAAAAAAAGATTTTAGTACTGACATTCTTTTTTTTAATATTTGCTACATTATCATGCAACGGTAAGCAAATATCGATCATTTTCTAATAAAAAAAATTACGTTTAAAAATCCAGAACAATTTTAATTTCACTTGTAAATTTTACTAAATCGAGCTTAAACTCTTTTTTTTTATATAATGAATATTACACTTTTTATAGCATCATATTATTATAGATGTACTGTTTGACATCTAAAAGAGTAAAGAAAGAGAAAGACATCTATTTTTCTTCTAGAATGCATCAAGTTCCTAATGAAACAATGAAGCGTTTTTCTATTTCATCTTCATCAATGCCAGTAAGACCGTCAACAAAGAATAGAGTTGTACATGATCTTCTTTGGATAAGTAAACAACAACAACAGCATCCATCAATAAACGCACATCCATTAAAAAATACTATACGAATTAATTCACGTGGTGTACGTTTTAAATTTGATGGCAAACAATGGCGACCATTATGTCAATCATCCGATGGATATGAATGTCGAAATTTAGCTTTTCGATCTTCACTTTGTCAAAAACATTTCTATAAAGTACATCTAATTAAACGACCATATGCTCAAAAAAGTTCAACACCATCACAGTTTTCAGACATTCCACCAATTTCATTAAAACGTCCATTACCGTCAGAATATGAGAAACATCATCATTTTGAACATCATAAATCAAAGGAAGATAATGATGAATTAGAAGAAAATTATGAAAATGATGATAATTCAATTGAAGTTATTGAAAATCATGACGTAAGAAGAGAATAAATTTATTCAATTGTATAGTAAAGTTCTAAAGTTATGAAACATTTACTCTCTATTTGCGTAAAGAACTTGATTTTACTACAACTAAATTTCAAGACTTCATGTCATGTTCTTTTCCAATATATAGTCTAGATCTTATCGGAAAGCTTTCGTCTTAAGACTATATTCTTCGTTATATTTTAGGCAATAGTGAGCAAACAAGAAACCAGTCATTCACGTTCAGAATATAGTTTTTTTACAATTGATTGTGATCCTCAAACAGTTACCGATGTATCAATAATCAATCAAGTCAAATCAGAACTGGTACGATATTATTTTCGGAAAAAATATTAATAATATTTTATTTTATGTTATAGTCAACAACACCATATATTAGTCGAACAGAAGTATTAACGAAATATTCTGATTCAATCAATACTGAATCATCTATATCGAATGAATCTGAATCATCGAATTTAAATATATCTATTCCAAAAATAATCGAAACAATACGTTCAGATATTCCACCATTAACACGTACAGAAGAGAAATCTTTAGCTAATGAATTAATCTCACAATTACCAGCTGATGTACCATTATTAGTAGGAGAACAAATGATACGTCGTCGAGTTTGTGAAATAGTTTTTGATAATTATTCTCAAAAACTTTCAGTAGGAAATATTTCATCTGAATGGTTTTATGATTTTCTATTACGTAATCCACGTATACCAATACATTTTCAAACTTGGTTTTCTTCAGTTAAATCAATATTACCATTATCAGATCAATTAATAGATATTAAACTATGGGAACTTGGACTTATAACAAGATCAGTTATATCATCATCTTCAATTTCAACTTCGTCTTCATCGTCACCCTAGGACTATGTTTTGTTTTTATTGTAAATGTTTTTTTTTTATTATATAAATATAAGTGAAAGCAAAAGAGTTAATAGAAAATACAAATCTATTGATAATCTTAACGATATATTGTTTATTTTATCCAAATAATTTCGCACAGTTAACTGTACGTCATCAATAGCACGAACATTATCTGGATTTGAATAATTAGCACCTGCAGCAACAAATCCATGACGCATATCAGAATATGTTTTATATTCACATTGTTGACTTATTTTCGTATTTGATTGTTCAATAGCATTAGATATATTCGGTTGAAGTGCAGGATCATTACCGGCTGCAATAAATAACATTGGTTTTTGTAATTGACTAACTTCAAATGGTGTTAATGATGAACCATGAATTGATACACCAGTAAAAAATAGTGATGATAAATTTGAACATGCACGAACAACTTGTAAACCACCCCAACAGAATCCAATTAAGCCAATTTTATTTGTTGAAAAAGATTTATGTAACCAATCGGCAACATTTTGAAGATCAGTTGAAATTTTAGTCCAATTGTTAACACCAGCCATCCATACAGTACGATTTCCAGTTGCTGGAGCTGCTGTACCTCGGAACAAATCTGGCATTACTACATGAACAGAATATTCGGATGCAAGACGATCACAAAATACACGTGTTTGACTTATATTGAAACCGTAAATATCATAAATGACAATTATTGATAAATTACGAGCAGATTTTCCAACAGAATATACATTAAAATCATTGACTGGAATTACTTGACCTTTAGGATAAGTTTCATCCCATGACAGTGCATTTATTGTTTGATCAACTAGGAAAAAGTGTTAGAAAAATATTTTATTTTAATATATGCAAATTTTTACTTGAAACAAGAGTAAAAATTAAGATTATAGATAACAGCTTCATCATTTTCCGTTTATGTGACGATAAATAACGTATGTATATATATAATCCTCGTTGTTGTTGTATAATGGTGAAAAGAATAGTTATATAAGAAGGTTATCGATAGTAGAACGAGCAAATAGAGAGAAAGAAAATGGTTTTTTTCCTCTATGTAATGTACTTTTTGGTAGGGGTAGAGTTTGTTATTAGTACCAATAATATGCATAGAATTAGATTATACTTATTCTTACTCTGTAATAGTTGGTGTTTACAATGGAGTTATATTACAAAAGTCCAAAAGGTATAATGTGTCTGAAACAAAATAAGAACATCTATTCAAGAAGAAATGACATATACGAAATACAAAAACTACCAGACGTTTATAAATGTATAGTTGCTTGTAGTACGTATTGAGAAAGAAGATGGCAAATGTTAATAATGCAAAACTCCCTACGGAAATTATTCTTATAATTTAGATTAAAAGAAAATAGAGTTTGGTATATTAATTGTTTTTCCATATACTAACGATGAATAATATATTATGTCTTAATCTATTGAGTTCTAATTACAAAGTTTATCTAACTTTAATTCTTCTTCACTTTTGTAGTTGTTTAGTCTAGAAGTTGAGATAAAATACTTAAATACTTTCGTATTTATTATCAATGATTATAGATTGATTTTTATCGCTATAAAGTACTTTATGTAATAAATATGTCAAAGCTACTCGATCTCATCCAAAAAAAAACAACAACACGATATTTGATATCAATATCAAAAGCGAATTCAAAAATTTATTCATTAAAATCGAGAATATTATTTGTGCAAATAGATATATTGTCGATAGGCAAATAAACTTCATGCATAGCAAGCATAAATCATTAAAAGAAAATTTGCAGATTTACTTTCTACTTTTATTTTTACATATATTTTATTCAAGCTTTTTAAAGTAAAATTCGACCGATAAAAGAATTCTGAACATGAATCTTCACTGACCATACCCAAGCAGACAAAAAATCATCACCTTTATAACGTTAAAACTCATATTTTTAACGCTTAAACGCATGAGTTTTAAATTCTAGAATAAACGCGCGTTTCTACATTATAAAGGACGTGATTTTACGTTCAAAACGCCGTTTATGGTGTTTTATTATTAAGCGTGAATGGCTTACAATCACGGTTTCCGATTGAGTGTTTAAACGCGTTTTTCCAATTTTTGGTCTGCTTGGGTATTTTCAATAGAAGTTTATTTATTACTTGTATTCATCAATTACGAACAATACTTGAGTAAACTATGCTTTAAAATGTTTCACTCTTTCGAGAACATACTGATTAGTTTAAAAATTACCAATAAAATCTGATGGAATTTGACATTTTTCCATTGCATGTTATTTAAATTATCATTATATTAATTGGACTAATAGAGTCTCAAGTATAATAATATTTTTTCAACGTCTTTTTACTCACGTAGACTGATCGTCTACATATGATCAATAAGGAAAAAATATTTTTCTTCGTTGTTCAACGGAAAACGATTCAATTACTTGAAGAAAATACGGTTTCTCTATTTATTGGTTCTAACACTTCTTTTTTTTTACTTTTTAAAAAAGCATTTTAAGATTGAATAGATATTAACGATTAAAAAAAACAAATGGCAACATCAAGCAAAACCAATACTAGACGTTCAGTTTCAAAAAAAAATGAATATCGTCAAGTACAAGTTCGTATGCGTGAAATTCTTCAACGAGCTAGTAAGTATTTATAATAAACTTCTACTATTGTATGAGTTATATACTTTTGTTTTTGATTATAGATGCATTGTACGAAAGATTACCTCATTCATCATATATAACAGATAAAGCTTTTCATGATATTGAACAAGATTATATGGCTATGTCTGATGAATTTCAAGAACAACTTAGTCAACTTACACAACATTATTATAATATTCAAGAGTACATTCATTTTTTTGTTTTTAGTTCATCATTAATTTCATTTTATAGATCAAAAAATAAATCAAATCGTATTCATAAACATTCATTTTCAACACCAAAGTAAACACTAATTTTTTTTCCTTTATTTCTCAAATATTTTACATAATCATACTAATTCATAGTTCATCAAGACAAACAACAAATACTGAAATATATCAAATGAATCCTATAGTCGACGATATTGAAAATGTACTTAATTTAATAGTACAACAATTTAAACAAGTAAATATATTATTTTAAATTTCTCTATTAATTGATTATTTAGTACCGTTTTAAACCTGCATATTCTTATACTGGAGTTAAAACAACTACACAATCAATGAACGATCAATATGATGCAATAAGTGGTATAATGATTCATCAACTATATGCAGTAGATTTAGATATACTTACCAATTGGGTTGTTGCATCATTTGAACGTCGAATATTTTTTTGTAATAGTGATGGTGATATACGTATTTTCTCATATTCACGTCGTTTTCATCGACAACCATTATTAACTGAACGATTTCATTTATCAACTATACGTCTTATTACATCATTTACTGTTACACAAGATTATTTAATTACATTTGAAGCCGATACTCAGTTAATTTCATTATATACACATCATGGCGCATTACTTAATCGTTCGAACTTTCCCTATGATCCAAATATAATTATTCGTTGTGATTATTTAACTAAAAATGAAATTTGGACATGTAGTCAATCAAAACGTCAATGTATTCAATTTCATATAGATCATTCAACGAAAGAAATACATCGTATTCAACAATTAAATTATAAATATCCAATATCAAATATTTTAATTGATCCTGTTGGTATATCAAGTGATGAGCAACATCGTATTGGTGTACATGATATTAATACGATCACAAATGATCGTTTATTAGTTTATTCTAATGATCAACATCAAATTATACCACTTAATTCAATCAAATATACTGATCGACGAGGATTATCTCGAATTGAACGTGTTTTATTAGTACCAAAACGACCGAATTTAATTGTTGTAGTTCGTGTACCACAATTAACAACAACAAATTTACATGAAATTGTAATTGTTGATATAGAAGTACAACCACCAAAAATACTTTATTGTTTAACTGAACCAAATGATATACAAAATATTGATTTAACATTAAATGGTGAATTAGTTTATACTGTTAAACTACCATTAAATAAACGAATAGCATCAAAAATATATATTTATAATTTATTTAATTGATTGAATAACTAAATTCTTTTTTTTTTGAATAAAATCTATTCAATATATAATGAGTATACATTCATTTGCTTTCAGCTTTACATATATATGACAATGTCAGTTCTGATTAGAAGCATTAAAATAGATATCAAAGTACATCCTATATTCATGTCTGATCGATCAAAATAAAGAAAACTATATACTAATTACCAATTAGAAATATCTATATAGTTTTAGCGTTAATACTTGAAATAGTTTGTTTAAGAACGGATTTTCCAAGATTGTACTTCAATAGTTTAAATCCGTTATAGACAAAAAAGAAAATCATTTTCTATGAATACAATCAATTTAGAGTGCCATTTAAAATTTTAATAATAAAACATAAGTAATTAATAAATTTTTGTTAATAATCAATAAGTATTTCCAGTATATTGACACATAATGAGAATAACCTTTCAGAGTATCCTGTTATGAACATATAATTCCCATTTTGATTCCAGAAATTTTGCATTTGTCTAGTCACGCGCGTATCAAGAGGATTCGATCTCACAATAGTATACAAAATATGACTATGTAATCAAATGACGAATGGCACAAGTCACAATTTTTTTTTTCGCAAACAACATATATTTAAAAAGAGATTGATCGATCATAAAATACGATATCTATTGTTTTCAACGTTACAGTTATAACTAAATTCAGTAATACTTGATTAGACTATTAAATATATCATCAAGAATATATTAAAAAAAGTATTGATACATGATTAACATTTGACTTTTCGAAAAGAGTAAAAAACACTTTGTTTGATTAATTCTACTTTTTTCGCACTTGTTAACATGCAAAAATAATCTCTACTAGATAAAAGAACATTTATCACCCAGTTTTTATTTCTCTATCAATATTAATAGCATAGTTCGAATGGTAGGTATATATGTATTGTTATTTAGAGCTTATAAAATATCTATATCCTACATAAAAGTATTATTCCATATAAATATAACCTTTTTGTATAATAATCTGTAGCTTGATTTTTCTGAAACTAAATGTCAGATCCCAACAAATGAAAGAAAAGATTAGAAATTAATCTACTTATGCTGTACTATAGAATATATATAGATATATATTCGATAATACAGTTCTAATGTTATAAATAAAATAATTTTTTTTCGAGAATAAAATATAGTTCATTAAATCATAAGAACTAATTCAACTTTACATTTATTTATAAGATGAATTAGTTAAATAAACATATGACTTTTCATGATATTCAGTTATTCTTCTCTAAGGACATTTAATCATCTAATATATAGCTGATACACGCATTTGTTTTACACGATATAATTATACTTTTTTTCTCTCGCGTGTATTATCAAGCCTTGTCATGAACAAATTATTAATAGACATCACGCGATGTTATTTTGATTAATTTGAATATTACAATGCAATCATATTGTTTGTTTTTCAATAAATATTTATTTCATTTCCCGTTTTATTCAAACAATATGATACAATCGTATGAAAATAAAATTTATTTGAATTAAGACAAAAGATATATAAAAATTGAACATTTCATGTTATCTTTGAAATAATTAAATAGTTCTTTTTTTTTTATGTTGTTGTTGTTGTAAGGGTGTGGGTGAATTTTATTATCATTCATCTGTTAAGCTGTTGATGAAGTTGTAGAAGGCACTTGCGCTTTTTTTGTCGCCTACATCATACTCTTCATATGACAAGCGGTTTTTTTTTCTTTAATAAGTCATGACTTTGGTTAAAATTTTCTACTAAAAAATAATGTAAAAACTTTAATATAAGACATAACAATCTTATTAAATATAAGACTGAATTTTGAGTCTATTTATTCCAAATTCAATTAAAAATAATTGAAATTATTCTTAAAAAATATATTCAAAAAGAACACTATTCTTCCTTGTTATATATTTGTTCTTATCAAAATATAGATGACAACATTCCGAGTAGATCCGCCTCGCCTGTCAATTAGGTTTCTCCGGTTCTACAATGCAATTAATACTTAGCTTTCATCTCAATTCGGTCATCCATCTATATCTTTTCTCGTTTGACGTTCATGACTAAAAAGAATCGAATGCAGACTGTGTGT